AAAAAAAAAAAAATAAAAATAAATATATATTTAAAACCAAACAAACAAGCAAACAAATCTTTAAGATGTATTTGTTTTACTACCCATGTTTAAACCTTTGGCTTGAATACTATAATTCCTTCAATACAAGGAAATACCTTCAAAATTATTAAAGTAAAAAAAAAAAAAACAAAAAAACAAAAACCTGATAAAATATTCAGTACTTTCTAATTGTTAGCTATATAAGTAACATTTAAAATTTACCATCTCTCTGACTAGTCTTGGCTTCCACTCTCCTCCTCTTTTTATCCCCCCAGTGGTTCCATTCATCATCTTCTGCATTACCTAATATTAAATTCATAAAGTTATTTAAAATACCTTTTTGAAGCGTGTCCGATTATTTTTTAATTTTTTTATAATCTATACTTTTGTATTCTAAAAAATGTAACTAGAACAGTGGCTCCCAACATGTGCATGGAAAAAGTTAGGCAGGGAAGGGTAAGAGAATAATGTGCATGGAGGAACTGCACATCCCAGGATTTACTTTGACTCCCACTACAAACAGAAGGATTAAATTGAAAGCTCTTAAATCTACCCTCCCTTACCTTTCTGTCCATCTCCGGTACAAATGGCTACAGGAGCAGCTTACTGACCACAAGTTTCTCTCTCAGCAAATAACTTGTCTGGTCTATGCTACCACAAACCTCAGAACATCTCAAAAACGTGGGCACAATCCCGAAGGACGAAGAGAACTAACTCATCTGTCCATGTGAAATGACATAAGATATTTTTGTGCAGGAGTATTCTTGAGTATTAGAATTATGAAATTACTTTCCCAAGAAGTAACAGCCATAGTAAACCTCATCTGCTCCAAATGCAAGGTACCTTCACTGACTGCCTTCTCTGAAGAGTAAACAAAAATTCATCACCACAAAAAAAGGACCGGTCCCACCTTCGCTGCCTCTGCTCGTGAAACTCCGCAGGGAAGTAAGGAAAGCAGGAGAACAAAGCATGTGCATAAACTAATCCTATCGCAGGTCACTGCTGCGAGATGTCTGATGCTATTATGAGGAGGACAATTATAAATAGAAAAGGAAACAACTTCGGGAGTAGAGGAAAGAAAAATAAACACAATCAGAAAGAAAGGAATGGAACAAAGACAAGCCAAAAGGAGAAAAAAAGGCTGCATTTTTTTCTTTTTGTCCCACAAGAACTGCAAGGCACAAGTAAAAAAAAAAAAAAGGTAAATGGTTCCCTAGATCAGTCACAAAGGTGTTCCCATGAATTATAAACCAGCCTTTCGTATGGAAACCTGAAGGATGGTTAATGACTGAAGTCCTGCACTAGTGGAGAAGGCAGCAATTTTTTTGTGGCTGCCTCACTGAACTCCAGGGCAACCAAATCATTTCATCATTTTATACCTCAATTTTCACATCTATGTAATAGGAATGATGAGACCTACTTCTCCACTGCAGAGCATTTTGAAATGTAAGGAAAAGTAATTTACACTAAAAAAGAAGCAAAATGCACAATAAAAGTGGCTTGTATTTCTTCCCTCTCATATTTTTTATCTGAGAAGTAGCACTTCAGAGTTTTGATCAAAAAGCTATTTAAAAGCTTTTTTACATCTTAACTCAGAATTTTTGCAGGAAAGACACGTACTTCAAGCTGCACCCCCTTTTTTGTGATTCTTCCCAAACATTACCTTGGGCTGGACTGAAGGAAGAAAACCCAAATTTTCATTGCTAATGTGTAATGAAAGGATTTCTAAAACTCACAATTAAGAAATGCATACATTTAATTGCCAGACAACAGAAGATTAGTGGCCCATCTAGCAGCTCTGCAAGGCAGAGGGTGCTGTTTCTGGGGTGTCTAGATCTCCTTTGGCATTGCTATCTTCTGTGTCAGTCTTTTCTTGCTCTTCACTAGAATATTTGGTATGCACCTCAACTCTAAACTTATCAGAATCACCAGGGAGGCTCTTGGCAGCCTGATAGAGCCTCAGAACAAAAACAGAGCAGAGAGGAGCAGCTGGTCCTTTTATTGCTGTGCTGGCTCCCTTTGTCTGCTCTGCACCCTGGAGGCCACTGGGATAAACTGGCCAGTGACTGCAGTGAATTTCACTGCGCTGTCTTTAGTACTAGAAGCTGTAAATAGAGAGAAAGTGAAAAATTGTTAAGCATGGCTCCATTCCCTAATAGGAACAGAGTACAGTGAAGGGAGGGTGGAGAGGGAAAAGAAACTCCACAGTGGAGGCAACAACTGAAATAATGACAAAGCACATTCAGTTTAATTTAAAGCAGAAATGCAGGGGTACTGTTTTTACCCAAAGTGTTCCCCAGTACTGCTGCCAAAACAGAACTTGCTTGACTTCCAATGTTTTTACTTCAGTGGTAATTAAATCAGCCTAAAAGGTTGGGTTTGTCAGGTTTAACATCAGAAAGAAATATGCAGACATTTTGTCTAGGGGACAGTTCCATTAAATAGTTGGAACAACTATAAAAAAAAAAAGCTCCTATTAGAAAAAAATGAGTGTAGTGTACAGACACAATGATCTATGTAAGAACAGGCAAACAAAACCAAAACAAAAACCTCATGAACCAAAACCCAAATTATTACAAAACTGAGAGCTAATTTCTACTGTCAGAGTACTGTTGGCCACTTTCTAGAGGGGTCAGTGAAAGAGGACATCACAAGGCACTCCCTGAGCAAGAAGCAGTGTCTGCTTTTTATTAAAAGGGCTCGTAACACTACTAACACCTCCTTGTCAAGCTAAGTAGAGATCTTTTCTTTGCCTGTTATACATATGCAAGTTGCAAACTAAGAAACAGAACTTACTGTGGTAGCACGCAAAGACATTGTTTCCATCTGAGGAGCTTAAACTGAATCTAAGATTATGCAAATTTTACACTCTTGTTCTTTTTAAAGATGTCTGAAACACTGAAGAGTTATATCCAGAAAGGGCTGCATCCAGGACTGCTGCTTGACCTCCAAAGTGCCCAAGTTTGCCAGATGCCTCTGAAACACACAGGTTTCCTTGACACTTTGCAGTTGCGCCTTCTGGTCAGATCCAGCAGTTCCCAAGTCAGAGCACCCTTCATGTAACTGCCTCGTGGTCAGAAAATCATCAGTGAATAGCTGTGTGTTTTAAGTTTTCTTCACTATACGAGCCACTGGAAGCTGCAGCTCCTCCAAAAGCTCTCTAGTAAAGATCCTGCCTTCATTCAGACTCATCTCCTGCTAAAAGTGGCCCATTACACAACTGAAAACACAAGATGCTTGGCAGCGAAGGTAAAGCAAGGAAGAGGGAACCTGACACTGTCACTTAATGGCTGGGGCAGTAAGCCAGAGCAGAGCAGACCTGGGATCCTTCCCGTTCCCTCAGCTATGCAGGTTACTCTATACATTACAATAATCTTACAGCGTTACCATTCTTCAGAGCAGAAGAGGTGCACAGGCACAATATGGTAAACAAACATAAGATATTTAAGACATGCAAATCATGTAAGATTGCTCTTCCTATATACTTTCTTTGTCACACAGTACAAAGCATCTAAAGGAAAATGGGATTCTTAAGGTAAAAACAAACAAGAAACCCCGCCATCATCAGAAGATCGGGCAAAAACATGAACCATCATTAGATTATGGCAGAGTTGGGACCACTGAAAACAAGACACAGGAGGACTGCTAAAAAAAAAACCAAACAAAAAAAACACCACCAAAAAAACCCAAAACACAACAACAACAACAAAACCCACCAACTTTCCAATATTTCAGGGACACTCTTCTTCGTTTAGCCCTTTTCCTCTAAATCAGGATGTGCAATCTATTAGTAGAAGCTGTTGCCAAAATACTCCCAGAGCAAGTTTGGAAATGGAGGCATATACTGCACAATGTATTTACAATCTGCACATGCAGAGCAAATATGACAAGTGCTAGATGTACTGTCAATTAACTGTCCCATGCACATGTTCTAAATCTAGTCATATAGCAGGAAATAAGTCATATGATGCCTGGCTTGGCAAGGGCCAGGCATACTTGAGCTCACCAAACACTTAGCCAAGTAAAGCTTTTGAACAGCTGCAGTTTGAACTACTCCTGTGCTCTCCCCTTTCATCTCAATCATTTCCCTCTTCTGGGGGTTATCACACCGATAACGAAAGTTCGTGGAAGGGAAGCCACGCCCTGCATGTCAGTCTCTCTGGTATGAATCTGCCTCAAACTCATCTTCAGCAGCGACTGATAACCTGACACCAGACTCCATCTAGAAGCAGCCGAGATGCAGAAACAGTTTTAGGTCACCTGTGCCACCAGGCACCACTAGTGTCTCGTGGTAACACACAAAAACCTGCATTTTTATCTTCAACTACTGCAGCAAAATCTGCCAGAGCCTAAGGATTTATATGCAATCATTATCAGAGGAGAGTACCAACTTAATAGGACATGTAGCAGCTCATTCTCTGGAGGACTGCTGGGATGGGCTGTGCAGGTAAACCACGCTGTGCTCTTGCAGGTGAGAAGTAAAGCAGCCCAGCTGAGCACAGGGCACAGCTCGTCCTCAGTGCAGCATCCAGAAGGAACACCTGTCCAAGACAGCTGCCTCAGGAAGGATAAACCACCTTTGCACTCTTCTCCAAGACAGAATGGTTTTGAATTGCAAAAGGATCCCAAGAAAGCCAGACCTCCGGGATCACTGGAAAACAAAGTAACTTCATGCACTTTGGATCCCCTCTCTCACCCCTAGAGCACATCAGAGGAATTCAAGGAAGGAATGTGTGCTAAAAGTCAAGCTATTATCATGCTTTGCTTTAACTTTTTCTTGCAAACTTTTATTTCCAGGTTTTACAGCATAAACACAGAACCTGAAAGTCTGAGAGTTTACAGTGCAAATCTTTACTATGTTTTACTGTAAATATTCTGTCATTGCTGAACAAGGCGATCCAGATAAACCAGGCCTATGTCGCTTTCACAGAAACAAAGTAAAAAGGAGCAAACATTTTTACAACCTGAAAAACACACAGAAGAAACTGATGGTATAGTTGCATGACACACTGGTCTCCACAGTAATGCTGAATTACTGAGTATTCCCCCAGAAATACCCCGCTTAAGGGTACAATTTGTCAACCAATGCATCAATATAATTGTAGGATCACATAAACAAGATCACTGAAATGATCCGTTAAATAGGCATGAGTAAAATAAGCTGTTCATTAATACATGTAATTCAGGAGATGCAGAATAAGAATATAAATATTTCCTCATGACCTATGGCCTTGTAAACAATCTAATGTTTTTTAATTTTACAGTAGTACATAGCAATAGGTCTTGTGTTTTTTGGTATTTTGTTTGTTACAAAATCCTACACAAAATTAGAGACATACAGTTTCAATGCTGAAAGCTTACCAAGAGGAGCTTTGAGAAACCTGCGCTCGATCCCTTGTTCTATCTGAAGCAGTGCAGATGCCAAGTAGTGGACCACATTATTAACTGGTTGAGGAGTACTTGTACTTGTTGATGCAGCACTCGGAGCTTCAGTTTTCAAGCCAATGAGCCTAGAATAGAAATGTAATAGATTATTATTTTTTTTTTTTCAATATACTTTGAATTTAACACCATAGATATTTTTACAGGTCTGTATCCTCAGTACATTTTTATTTTCACTTCATTTACATGCATGGACTATTGACATGAACAGATACTGCACAAGTGTGATTAGTTATCCCAGTTCTCAGGTTTGCTTAATTAGTCTAGTTAATCTCGATAAATCATTTTTAGGTAACACAGTTACCTAAATTTCAAGAAGTGCAGATGACAAATTTCAGTAAGATTTGGTGCAACATCCATCAACTAGCTTATGAGAGATTTCTGTGAAGAGTATAGTCCCAATAATTCTTCAGTGAAAACCCTTCCAGTGGTGGGATATAGCCTTTTAGAATACTTCCATCTGCAGAAGTTCAACTACATACATCCTCACAAAGTTTTGAAATGAAAATAAATTAAATAAAAACAGAAAGTAATTTTAAAATGTTAAATCAAGAATTCTTAACTTGTATGTTCTCATCCTTGGAGGATTTTTCTAAAATATACTACTTCTTCATGTAAGGAGGAGAAAAGGAAAAAAAAAAAGTTTTTTCCCATTAAAACAGACTTCTTTGAGCAAAGATTAAGTAATCATTTCAAAGTGTAGTTAATCTTCCTGAACCACAAACATAAGTATAGCATAGGAGAGCAACTCACACTAATGAAAATAAAATTCAATTTCTACTTGGTGTAGAAAAAAAAAACCCCTAATTAAGACTGTCTGGATTCTGCTTTATTCTGGTGAATGAGCAATGCTTTTGGTTGTCCCTGTTCTTTTTTCACACTTAAAAGCTGTTCATTATATTTTGCAGTCACACACATTTCGAGAGCCTGAAAGCAAACAGAAAAAAGCTGCACAGTTATTTACATTTCACTAGTTAAACTCCAAGGTCTTAATGAGATGTCACTCGCTCTAAGGTGAATAAAAAGCCCAGCATCAAAAGCAATCTGTCACATGATTTCAGAATCCCATAGTCTCTGTTTTAAAATGCAGGACTTTATTAGAGAAGACTTTATTCAGAAACTTTGACAGAGTCAGTATCAAATGGGAGGGAAAAGAAAAAAAAAAAAGAAGCTAAAAGCTTCTGCAGTTGAATCAAGAGTTGGCAATGGAAGCAAGTGCCCAAGGTAACTGCAGACAGATAAAATTTTAGCTTCTTAATTAAAACACTGGAATATTTCTGTGTTGTGGTTTTCAGGAAGCAAATGTCTATAAATTGTGTTGTTAATATGAAGAAGGATGACCCTATCCATTTTGCACACAACTAGAGAACTCGGATCTGAGGGCAGTCTTATATGACAATACTAATGCAGCAAACTGAAATAAAAAGGGAAAAACCTTAATGAACTTTAAAATTTAAACTCCTACATCCAACACAGCATCCAAATGTACACCTAGAAATACAGCTTTCATAAAATAAAAGTCTAATTGCAGAAAAACTCACAGAAGACATAAGCAAACATTATGTTCGTACAATCATTGCCTCCAATTAATCTTTTTTCCTACAATACTTCAACATTCACGTCTGGTCAAAACATATATGTATTAAGTAAATTAAAGTGGATCTTTATTTCTGAAAAGTATGTAACTTCTGAGAGTAAAACATTTAGAAATCTTCACAGTTGCTGTAGTTTGATTTACAACAAACACCAATAGAGAGTCCTGCATCTGTCTCAAAAGTTTAAAAAACAAAACAAAAAACCAAGCCAAAACACTTCTATAGTTGCAACGCTACATGATTTCAGGTTTCCTCTCTTTTACTATGTTGCTGCTTGCTCTACAGAAGAGGCATCACTCAAGGTTGCAAGATTGTATCTCCGCTTTGCTGCAGCACTAAAGGTTAATCCAGACCATGGCCTGTTGCACTGATGGTTCTTACTGTGACTCACTAAAAGCTACACCCCAGTTCAACCAGCAATTTGTTACTATTACCATTCACCCTTTTAAACACCCCTGCTTTTTCCACAAAGCGGGGTGGTTGGTTTTGGGTTTTTTTTCTTTTCTCTCTTCTGGAAAACAATGCAGAAATTGACAGATTAATTTTTCTCTGCATTTTAAACTACTACAAAATGAATTCACGTATTTGTTATTTGGTAATTAACATTCACTTGGAGCAGTGTAATACCTGAACAGTACAAGTTGTAAATATTGACCTGCAGGTGTCTTAGTCTTATATGGTAACAGCACAGTGCCATTTAGAAAATAAACAAATCTCCCAAAAAATTCTCACTTTTTACAACTCAGATAAAAATACCACTCCAAAGAATATGGAGGTAAAACCAATTTGAAGGTTATAAAGCCAGCCCTGCTATAAAATTCACAGAGAAGAGCCATTATTTAAGCTGTAGCTCTTACCTGTCTTTCACAAGAAACTTATCTTGATCATCAGTTTCCATTTCTTCAGATTCTTCATTCACAGTTTTAATTATACCATTTTCTTTGTTTTCATCATTCAGAAACTCATAGCGCCCATGTTCCAAGGCTGCTCTCCAAGACTGTCTGTCTGTAACCTGAAGCAAACACACAAACTTGAAGTTTCTAAAGAATCAAAGGCCACAAACTTTTAGTGCCAATTACTGTCTACGCTTAATTTAATTATGCTTTCAGTAAAACCCATAGCAGGCAAGAGTTCTCATTTAAGCTACTGACTCGATGGTACCACCATGCTCCTAGCTATTCTAGAATTCACAAATACCTTAATAGCCCCCAATGTTCCTTGGTAGATCCTGTCTTCAATGTCCAAAAGAAAGTCTCTAAGTCTGAGTTCAAGCTGCTTCTCTGCAGATACATGAGATCCTTCATGGGCATTCTGCATCCTGCCCCGTCCTGAAGGAGGTCTCATGTCACTCTGAGGTTTGTCTGAAAGAATACCAAGTAACTGCATGTTAGTGGACGTTGTTCTGTAAAGCAGCCACTGGTGGAGCAAACAAAAGCAGTACAGGGCAGGACAAATTAAACACACAGTTTCAAAACTCCCTTTCTGTAGTAGTCCGCTTATCCCAGCACACAGGATGAGAAGTTCTTGTCAATTTTAAAGTCATACTTTTATCTTAAAATGCTTTATAAAGTAGTAGAACAACAACTCTCTGCTATAAGTGCAAGGGTGGGGGGAGGGAGGGTTGGAAATAAAGAAAAATCACATTTCCAGTATTCTTCATATTTGATGGCCCTTTCTTTACAGGAAAACTCCTCAGTTTCCTTTCCTGCATGAATCATTTAAAGCAAGCATGTCCAACTGACAGTCACTAAAACTAACAGAACAAGATATAATCCCTTTAGAAAACATTACGTTAAAAGAAAAGAGGATAAAGATAAGATGACACAGGTACAGACTAGACTGACTGTATCCTCTAATTAAAGGTGGGGAGGGGGGGAAGAACAAGACAGTAAGATAATTTATGAAAAAAAAGGGAAGAGCTGATGATGAGCTGTCAAGCAAAAACCTCTTAATTAGATAATGAACTGAAAATTCATGCAAAAAACTCAAAAGCTACAGGAAAGAGCTGAAAGTATGCCCAGACCCTAAATCAGTGCTTGGAAATCTGCATAGGTGGCAAACGTTTTCATTCACAGGATTTACCTTAAATCCTATGAGTGCAGTGAGGAGGAGGTATATGCAAGAACTTAAACGTATTTAATAAAAAATTACCATAAAGCTGTGGTTAAGGAAGTACTGGATGAATTTCTAAAATGCTCTCAATTGCAGAAACAATTCCCTGTAACTGAAAGTAATTATGCAAATATTCTCGAGATGTATACTAGCATACTCTGATGTCTGGATGTGGGAAACATCCTTTTTGGTTTCAAAGAAAAGAAGAAATAAAATGGTTTTTCTTAAGCAGAATTGGCTTGCAAATAAGTGATGAGGAAAATTTAATGGATACTGGAATAAAATCAAGTAATAGCACATATCAGTTTTATTTCCATGCTCTTTAGAGTGGTAATTAGAAAACAGAGAAGGGCAGTCTACAGCACAAGAGAATCATGGAGTAGTTCTCATTTGTCCAGCAAGTCATTTGAGTGAAGGCAACAGGGCAGCAGCTCAAGTTCACTGCAGTAAAAAAGTGAAGTTCAAAGCTGCAGAATTTGTGTTGTTGTGGGTTTTGGTTTGTTTTTTTTTTTTAATATTATTCTACAATTCTAACATAGAAAGAGAAGAATCCATGTGGAAACCAAGCTGCAGAAAGCAACACACAAAATACAAAAGAAGATTCGGCAACTAGAAAAATAAGGAATCACACACACACAAACACAGATGTTATCAGAAAATGAGATTTTCTCAACAAAAAAACCCACAAACATAGCCATAAGGCCTCGAAATAAAGCTTAATTGCTATGCAGAAACTCTGTCCTGTGCTAGTTTCCACCAAAAGAAATGGTAGCTCAGTTATGGATTTAGACTTGACGTGTTTGCAGCACATCCTGGCATACACACTCCAGTAAAACAGAACCCAGCTCCGCTGTTAATAATTCTCCCTTGCCCCAATAGACATACACCAAAGTCACAGTAATTTGACCTAATTCAAAACAAAATGCAATTTCTTAAACATTATCTTAGGGAGTTTTGTTTTGGTAACATCCTCTACCTACCAACACACCACAAACAAGCTAGCTACAAGCTTGTGTATGCAAAATTTTATTGGTGATTGGAGCTAGTGCCTTGTCAATAAATGGCAAAATATTTGGCTAGAATAAAAGGGAAAAAACCTCTAAATCCTAGGTCTATGATGTATTTAATACAGGCCTACATTTTGGAATCCATACAAACAACACTGCTCTGCAGATGCCTCCTCCTCCTGTAACAAGCCTCTGCCAAAAGAAGGGAAAAAAAATAGAATGGTATCACAGAATCCACTGTCCTGATGTTAACCCACATGACAACCAACACAGCTACGCTATTTTCTCTCCTCCCAAAGGTTTTAATATGACCCTACAATATGCTATTGTTCCCTTGTTCACAATATGCCAGTAAAGGCTTTTGAATAATTTCATGCATTATAATGTTATGAAAGAATATGTCCTACTCAACAAATGGTACCAGTAATTGCCTTCCTTTGCTAATTTGTCTCCAGTGTCACACCTTGTGTCTCCTTTCATCATATTGGAAATGAGGACATCAGGAGATCAATACCATGATTCACCTCTAGCAGATATTAATCTTTATTCCTCAGTTAATCTTTTTCCAAAGCTCCAGTTACTTCCTAAAGATGTTTGTTTAAAAGCCAATCTTGTTTTACTAAGCAGTGAGATAACAGAAAAAATGCTCTTTTAGCATAAAACACCAAAAAGACATCACAAAGATCTTTGGGGGGGGGGGGGAGGGCGGGACGCGTTTGGGGGGGGGCCGGGGAGAGAAGGAATAAGAGAAAAAAAGAAAGGAAAAAAACAAACCTTATTTCTTAGGAATTACAATTAGATGACAATTAGAAGTTTCTACAATATTATACAGAAATTACAGCTATGGAAGCAAAGTAAGATCAGAAACCTTTAATTTACCTGAAATATGGAATTTTTCCACAGGAAAACTGCTTAGTTGTTCATATATTCTACTTTTCTCTTGTAAAAGAGTTTCTTTTAAGGCACTCTCCCTATGTCCTCGGGAATTGAGAGCCTCTAGGAGTTGGTCCAGTTGTTCCCGAGAATTGTAAAAGCACCAACGGTTTGGTTTATATACTGGCCTTGGCACCTCTACAACAACACTGGTGTGTGAATCTTGGTCAATATTGGAGGTAGATTCAGAAGATTTCAAAGACTCTCCAGTTTTACTGAATACCTGAGGTTCATTTGTGCAAGACTCTACACTATTCTGAAAGGAAGAGGTTCGAGGCAACAACATGTCTTCTGTGAGACCAGAATAGTCCTCTTCTATAAACAATCCAGGAACAGAGGGGAAAATCCAGTAGCGTCGGTACAGACGGTCACGGCCTAACGGGGTGATATTTGTGCAGGCTGTTGCATTCTGAATCTTTTCTAACAGTTCCTTCTCTTTCTTTTGTTGCTCCTGTTTTAAAGCTTCTTCGTCTTCAGCAGTAAGAGGTTCACTCTTTTCACAAGTGGTCTCTTCTTGTTTTGCAAATTCTTTATATCCATTTTGCCCTCTCCTTCCTAAAAGTTAAAGGAAGAAGAATGATAGCAACAGTCTTACAAATTCTTTCTTTAACCAAAAACTTAAGTAAAGGGTGGGGTTTGGTTCTGTCCCTTTCTGATTATCTAAACTTACACTGTGTGTCAAGGACCATCAGCTCAGTCAAGAAACAACACTAAATTTTATTTAAAAAAAACCAAAAAAACCCCAAGTGATTAACCCCCTTCCTTCGATAAAGAGGAAGCCATCTTTAGTGTACTTTCACCTTGCAGAAACTAGACCAGCTCTCACTGATCAACAATGTCATTTTTAACACTGTAAAAAGAGAATCAAAATTTTAAGAACTTAAAAGTATGTTATAGAACTGTATTATAATGAGGAAGTAAAATTCTAGCAATTTCATTACTGAATACAAACTATGTTTTGGACTTAATTTATCACTCCCAAAAATGTACCAGCTGAAAATACACCAGTTCACATCTTAGTTTACCACAGAATCAGGTCCTGACAGTCATCTAGAAAAGTATATCCTGTAATTAACACATGCAATGGTGAAAGATGCTGTCAGCATTCAATTTCTACTGATTTCCAGTGTGACCTTCAGTTTCTCCGATTGTAGGAACGAAGTAACACTTGTCTGCCCTCCAGGTACAATGTCTCAGACATGGGCATGAGGAACTTTACATTCTAAGACCTCATTCTTTTGCCATCATAAAGCTGTAGCGAACATGCAAACCTGTATTGCTCAATGACCCAGAATTTCTTTCCCAGGTACTGTTAGAACTGTACAAGTTTGCAACTCTAAGTCCACGATGATCCAGGACTTTCACTGTCCCATATGCTAGCACAAAGCCTTCACAGCAGAAAGATGCAGATAAACCAGCATTAACAGTTCATCCTCGTGCGGCTATATCTAGGTTTAGTTACAAATAGCAGGCTGTGCTGTTTACTGCACCACAGCTCCTACTAACACACTGCTGAGGAAATTAAACCTGGGATGAGTCTAGTTGCATTCTTGTACAGAAGGCACGCTACTCCATGAACAAAGGCAAACGAAACTCAACACGCTCAATATAACATTTTCTAATACAATACCTGTTGTTTTTGCAGCCTCCTAATAAAAAGAGTCAAAACCACACCATATCCTATTAGATGAGACTCCCACAACTCACTCTCTCTCTCTCTCTCTCTCTGAGTGCACTACTCGTAACTGTGATGGTTTGTCAGGCAACAGCCTGTTTTTTTTGTTTAAGACAAAAGAGGAATCTGGACAGCAAGTATGGCAGACAAGAGGAAACAGCAGTGTGAAAGAACGTACAGCTGACCACTAGAACTACATGAAGTTCTCAATGTGCTTACTAGCCCACTATGATCATGTTTGGCTGGGGTTTGTTTCCCCTCACTTTTCCTTTAAAAATTTACAGGAAATACTGATGCTTCATAAAAATTTACTATAAAGCTTCCCAGGTGCATGCATGTGTGCGTGCACAGATGCACACAAATGAACAAATACATTATAGTGTTACCTCTTCCTCGTTTTTTGTTTGGTCCCAGCTCTTCTTCATCCTCTGTCACTGTGTCCATGTCTTGTTCTTTACGTTCAATTTCTTTGCTCTCTGTACTAGTATCAAGGTCTTCCCGTTCCTCCTCCCTGACACAATAAAATAAACAAAAGGTAACTAACTGACCAAACATGTATTAAAAGCTGAATGGAATGAAAAAAAAAAAATACACAACAAAATACGAAATCTTCAACACAAAGAGTATTTTTCCTCTCAGAAGTACTTAAGCTAGTCAAAGACCTATAATGCTTTAAAAAAATTAAGTCACAGAATATATTAAAACCCTGAAGAAACCCACTGAACTGTAAATGGCAAGTTCCACATTAAAGACTAAAACCTGCTCTTTGGTCACTTGTTCATTTCAAGAGCACTGTTATAATCAGTTCCTTTTTGGAGACATCTTAGTGTAGTTCTGCCAACCTGAATTATTTTTTTAATTACTAAAAAAAAAAAATTTGTTTTTTTAATCAAAACGTACACCATTTTATAAAATGCTTATTACACATTTTTCCTTCACCTAGCAAGTATAATTAAAAACCTAGAGAACTACATGCAACCATTACAGGATAACTTTTTTTTCCCCCATCAATTATAGTTTCAGAAACGTAGCACAAATCTGTCTTTGGCCCATGCTCACCTTTTGAAGGAAACTTATTTAACTAACTCCCTTCCTCAAGCAGGTAAAGATATAGTGTTGTATATATACTTTGCTTTTTTTCTGGAATCATATACAGCTGCATGTGCCTGAATCTTACCACCTGAAACCATACAGTTTTATTAATAGAACAAAAAACCTTAGTTTTATGGAAATCATCTGGGATGGCACAGCATTTAAAAAAAAAAATGCTATTAAATCTGATTAATAAACTGTTATGCGAGGTCAATATTATCTAGCTCAGATTAGACCAATTCCTCAAATTAGAAAAGGAACTAGAAAGGTCTATTATGAAGATACTCACAATGCGAAACAAATGCAAGACAAAAAGTAATGAAAAAAAAAAAAACAAATTAGATTTTGCAAGTTTCTCTTGTCAGTAGGTAAAACTGTCAAGCTTTCAATAGAATTTTAAGAAAAGTTGATTTAAAAAATATAATAACTTTCATAAAGCAATTCTAGAACAATAGGAAGAAAAATAAAAAACAACATTAAATTAAAATATACCTTTTTATATGACCAAGTCAATGAAAACTACATAGGTAAAGTCTGACCACATAACTGAAAAGTGCTATACCATACGTATCACGGCAATACCACGTATCATACCCAATAGATACTTCTGCAGCAGGATTTCTTTGCTCCTCTTCCTTCAGCTTTTCTTGTTTCTCTTTCATTTTTAACTCTTGTTCTTTTAACCTTTCCTCTTTCCTCTTACGTATCCTAACAGTAAGAAGAACATTGAAAAACAGTTGCAATTAATCTAGTATCTGACCTGGCCACATCTTTTTTCTTTTATACTACAGCATTATCTAAAACGAACAGTAACATGGGAAAGCACAATGCTTAGCACAATAAAGTTTCACTCCTGTCTAGGGTCTCAAGAAACCAGTATAAAACACAAACACTACTATTGTTTCTCATATGCCTTTTGCAATTGAGGAATTAACCTAATTTGTAGTAACAAATTTAGCTTTCCATATCCTAGTTTTACCTTGCTGCTGCTGCCTCTCGTTCTTTGCGATGCTGTTCTGCCTTTAATTCTCTGAACTCCTGTTTTGCTTGTCGTAACACATCAACAGAGTCCTCAATGAAATCTCGAGTGGAAACGAGAGTCAGAAGTTTCCCACAGAGTGCATGAAGGATCTTCATCTTTTCTCCTAATAAAATTCAGACCAATTTTTATATTTCATTATACAACTAATAAATAAGTCTTACTCTTACACACTCCAAACTGAAGATTGGTTCTCACTTGAGAAAAAGTCAACAGTCAAACATTTGTAGCACAGCAGCTGCACTTCAAAGAGGCATTTCCTAAAATATCTGCTTTGCTCAGAGATGCGAGCCTTTACTTTTCATTTAAGTTCTAGCACCAAAAGAAGAACTAAAATGCAGTATTATCTTCAAAACGGAGATAAAAGAACAGTAAATAGTAATTTTTTCTCCATTTCCAAATAACAAACAAACAACCCAAACAAGAATAGCAATAAAAAGCAAAGGCTGAATCAACCACTCAGATGCTTCTTGCAGAGATTCCCTTCTGCAAGTAAAACTAAAAAAATAACTTTTTTTTTTTTTTTTTTTAAATGGGATTTACTCAAAAGTAATGAGACTGCCTAGCTCTGCAATCTCGGATCTGGTAGGACCTGCTTGTGGGGGCCAGAGCATAGCGGGTGGGAGGTGGTCTAGGTGACCTCTAGAGGTCCTTTCCAACCTGAATTATTCTATGATACAGTAAGTTATGACTGTTACTGGATCTGAAGCAGTTACAAAATTGATCACTTAATGAGCAATCTAATCTAATCTCTAATATTTACTGTCTTTTATTACCTGGCAACAAATCATACACTGAGGTACTTGAAAGTTTCTTCAAGAGCCCAGGATTACTTAATCGCAGCTCCATGCAAGCATCATCAGTAGCATCAAACCCTCCTCGTTTCTGGTAACGGTATTTTGCATTGGCTGATGTTACATCAGCGCCTGAGGCTAGAATATGAAGTCTGAGAATCTCAGAAAGAGTGCAGCTATCAAGATCCAAGTTTTTCAGATTGCAGCCTACAGTTGAGAAGAATGAACAGTTATTTCATAAAGACATTTAAACGCATATAAATATTTAAAATGTGCTTTAAAATACAGAGCAAAATAAGAACAGTAACAAAACAAGAAGTGAAACCCACACATACCCTGATGTAACTGGGGCCATGCAGCTGCCAAAGTTGCAACTGCAGACAGTGCAGATTTTGTGGGGTCTGCATCTTCATCCAAAGCCTCTGTTAAATCTTTAAGGAAATAAACACTTTATTCTAGTGCAAATTAAAACTTGTATTGTGGAGGGGAGGAAAGCAAGCTGTTTTTTGAAAGTTGCAGACGAAGCAAAAAGAGGGCCAATATTTACAAAAGCATCAATGTATTCAGAACTCAATTCAACATCCAAATTAAAAAATACGCATCTTTAAACACAACTAAAAATCCAACTAAAAGCTACAGACATGCACAACATGCTATACACTACTCTCCCTATATAAAAGCTGTTCAAGCCACCCCAATGCACAAAGCATGCACAATGGCAACATAAAAGGCAGGAAAAACAAAGCCATAAACACACTTGAAAGCAAAAAACAAACAACAATGCAAGAATACCTGTATTTCGTTCCCTCAAATGAACTGTTATTTCCTATCATCATTTTGTTTTTAGGAAAGACCATCCAAACCAATCAGACATTTTGATACTGGTTATCACCATTCACTGCATACTTAATCTGAAACTTAGATATCACCTTACTGTTCTGCACAAATACAATTACAAGGCATTACAAAGAAACCACGTTTCACCAAAACAAGCATCTGCACTTAATAAGGGTGCATCACACATTAGTAAACTGACCAAGAAAGCAGGACAGTGAAAGGGAGAAACAGCAAAACTGTTTCTTAGACAAAAGTTTCCTTAGCACTTACAGGTATTTCTCCAGAGGGCTGGCAGAATTTTTTCAGCCTTGTTGAAGCAGCACACAATTTCACTATATTCAAGTCCAAATCACTAAGCAGTTACAAAGTCACCAAGTCAAGAAAGAGCCACAAATCCAAAGGAAGACTACATAAAATGCAAAACCACAACAGTCTTGTATGATGACTGATGTTGTTTGAAAACTGTCACCCAAACATTGCAAAATTAACCTCTGCACCTCTCCTCTCACTGCATAATAGGGTTTGAGAAAGTACTGTACACACCAAAACCCCTCATCCATGGTGTTTTCTGTTGCAGAAACACTGCCTGTACAGAACTGTTACAGTCAGCAAACATGCTGACTGCTACTGGTTTGGTTAGTCAGAATTACAAAGCTGAGAACATGTAATTCTTTTATGGGAAAGATGATGTTTAAAAAGAGCGACAAGAAATGGAAGTTCAAAGGTAACAGATAAAGTGCCCTGCCCACAGCTCTGCTAACCTGGAAGAGAAATGGCAGATTTTTGCCATTTTCAGCCCCATATAGACAAATTAAAATATGCAAGTTTTTTCTAATCAGTCCTACAAATAATAAAGAATCTAATCAACTCTTCTATGATTACCTGATAATGAAATCCCTGCTTCTATTATCCAAGCAATGCTCTCCATAGTTAAAAGACACAGTTTAATTGCTAAATTCAACAGTAAGTAAAATACAGTCTAAATTTGTTACCATCATATCAAATCTGTAACTTTATTCCATTAACAAGAGCAGTCTCTATTGCTGAACATAGTGCCCATGTTTTATATAAAGACATCTTATAGACTGGACATAAAACTTAAGCATGAGAATACGCATAGTCTTCAAGGGAGGAATTAAAAGGAACCTTCCTGTACCTCATGCATCTATCTTATGGGGGAACCACAGGATTCACTTGACCTCAAACAGGGAGTGCTTTATGCTCCTATCTACCTCTAATGAAACAAAGACTAGCAAGAAGGGTCAAAGCTTCTGCTTTAACTAGGCAGCAAAACTGTCAGCAAACACAGGACATACTAGACAACAGCAGTGGGGCAACAGTTGTTTTCCCCTTCCACCAAACACTGCACAAGGCAAAAGATTTGGGCAAAGTCTTAAGACCTCAGCTTCAAAACACAGAAGGTACATGCAACAGCAACATCTTAGAATATTTTCAAGGCTCCCAGTCTGATGCTTCTTTCTATCTCCTAAATTACACCAACACACTGCACTGAAAGACCATCACTAGATACTCGATGAGCCTAACAGAGTAGTCAGATCAGTTTCCTGATCCACAGCAAAGCTTCATAAATAGCTGAACTGAAAAAGCTAAGAGAGAAGCACCTTGCAAGGGCATTAAAAAAAAAAAAACAAAATTGGGCAAAGGGGATATAAGGAATACTTTTAAGTTTCTATTATTGACAAACTCTTTGCAAAGCACTCCATGTAGCTTCAGTAAGATCTTACAGGTAAAGCACTCTGCAGGATGAGGCTGAGAGCATTCATGGACCATGGACTGAATAGCTGAGCTGCCTGAACACAGAACAGAAACAGTCTACCAAGGATGAAGACACACATGTAATGTCCCTAACCACATAAAATTGGAAAAGAGCCTACACTTCCTTCTGATCAGTGGTTAGTATAAAACAAAAGCCTCTGAAAACATGAGCTACTTCAGCCTTAGGGTGAAGGCCAAAGGCAAGACTGACTGTGAGATCCTTAACTGGAAAAACACAGAGACATGGCAGTATTGAGGAGTTGTGGATGCACACTTCTAAGTCTTTGATGAATGCTGAATTCTCCATTATAGTTGTGCTGGGGAGTTTTAGTTTATTATCCAGTTGGGCCCAGACTCTTTTTTTTTTTTAAATAGCTACAGATACAGACTTTTGAGAAGATTTAGGAAAATGCCTTGTTTCCTGGCCCTCAGGGGAAACATCTAACAGTGCTGAAGGAAGAGAAGGAAGGTGAAGAAGAGTTTCCCTCACCTCCAGAACACAAGCAGTGCTGTTAAAAGCTTATTATGCTTTGCTGGATACAATCACAGTAACAATGAGCTTGTTTTTTCTCTATCCTCCTCACACCCCACCCTTCATGTCCAGTTTAAAGCTTTCATTTCAGATAAAAGAGAAAAAACAAGTCAATTTACATACAATATCCATGCATAATAAGACAAAATTAAACATAGGAATGCCATAAGGTCATGCAGTTTAAAGTTAATTCCAGTGGAATTTCAGTTTTTCAGCAGTAAAATTTAAGGATCTGACCTTTGGTCTCAGCATCAGCTATTTGATCTTTGGCCACTTCCTCTTCCTCTTCGGCCATTGCCTGAAAGATGGCAGTCAGGAAGAAAAACAGCAATTCACATAGTGGGCCTTCAGTGTCATTTCCTACAAGAGCTTCCTCTAACACTTCTGTGAATAAAGTTTAAGAAGTGTCACTTTTGCCGCAAAGTTGGAAAACAATTATGTACTGAAGAATGAAAACATTTTTTTTCCTTCAGGTATAATAGTCAAGTTACTTTTCCATAATTTACTGCAAATATTCCTAAGGCGATGCTGTCAGAAAGAGAGCTGACAGAACAACATTATTTTCTTAATATATAACTGCAAGAGTAAAGTACAAGTAGACATTTTAGTAAGTAGAGTAACAGTTTCTATATTGAAATTAATTTTTATTTTATAAACACTGCAAGAGTTGACTGTGAAGAGAAAATTGAATTAATATGCACATGTAAGCACTGACTTATTAAAGCTGCACAGAAAGTTTTGTAGCACTGGTACTTGGGTGCGCTTAAGATGTTTGGTTGTTTGGTACGAGAACGGACACCACAAAATCAGGGCACTTTCCCACATAAACAACAACTTGCCTAAAGTCACTCCTTCAGGAAATTCATCTTGAAGATCAAAAAGTTCCCCAAAGGCATATAAAAACTCCAAAACCATCAGAGCATCACCAAAGATCTCAGGAGGAAGTCTCGTCTTCACTGGCATTGGAACAGGAAGTTCCTGCAATCCAAATGGGACAACTTAATACTGTGTTCAGTTGCTGCAGAGTACACAAGTGATTAAAACCAATCAGTCTATAATTTCAAGGAGTATATCTGTTGTTTTTCTTTACATTTTACTGAAAATAGTTCTGCAAGACACATAATCCATTATCATGGTAACTAACATTAAAAACTGAAGAGCATGCAACTTGGACATAAATCTTTTGAGATAAAAGTTTATTAGTGTTCATGAAGTTAAATTATTTTGTATCTTTCTTTAAAGGAATTCAAATTCAATACAAGTTAAGAACAATAGTTGGCAAGATTTTCCCTTGGAACTTGTATTATTTCACAAGAGTTTTGAACTTAAATTTGCTGGAACTGTCCAGACAAGCAAAAATAAGCTTGTCTGGACAAGCAAAGAAGCTGCTCATAATTGCTTGCAAAGACAAGCAAACAAAACCCCAACACATTCACATAAAAACACATACATCTAATACTAGGATATGCAAAATAATGTCTAATGACCGAGTGTTCTGGTATTTGGGTTTTTGCATTGGTCATGCACTTATGATAGCTCAAGATATATTAAAGGGAGATGATGTAATCATGTAACAAGACCACTTAACAGAACCACCACCTCCAAATCACAGATGACAGTGTCCAACACCAAGTTTGACTTTCAAACTAATATCTTGATGTAACTCTTCAAGATTTGTCTTCATTTAATGTTTCTTAGCAGACACCGTCAAACAATTTCCAGAAGGGTGGTTCCTTTCCACAAAGGTCGTAGCTCACAAGCATTAATGAGAAGAATGTAAAACACTTCACTTTCAGAATAACACAGTAAGGTATTTCATACATTTTTTGAGAAGGGAATTTTTTGAAAAGTACTCTACCACTGGATCTTTCTTCTTGTTTCCTCATCTAAACTCATCTTTATTCATATTGTTAATTTTCACTGTAGTGATGATACCACTTTCCCACCCCTCCCTTTTTCTTTTCCAATTGAAACATAGCAGTGCTGTTTTGCATAGCTTCCCCTCATTTTGACAATGCTCTTTCCTTTCTTCAACTTCTCCCTTTCAATACACAGCTAAGAGTTTTCACTCATCTTCAAGGGCGTATACAGCTTTCCTTGCAAATACATTCAGCTATCATATTCATCCCAACCTGTGCTATCACTTCAATTCATTTAACACTCCAATTCCACTTGTCCTCTTTGCACTTCTGTCATGTTTCCATGTGTATCTCAAATAAACCCCTGTCCCCATGTTTCTGACAATTTTGCCTTCTTTTGCTATCCCCTGACAAAATTACGCATAATAAAATGCACATAAATGTATAGCACTAGACAGCCCTAGGCAGCTTTCCATTACGTACAGCCACACTATATTCTTGCTTAGAACATTAAGTTCTTTGGGAGGTAAATTCTTGTTACTTTCTACAGTTGCCCAGGATCATCCAGAAAGATGGTCGTTAAGCAAGGATACTACTAGAGTTAAATCAAAAGAACATCATAGAGAATAACAAGCTAATGTCCTTTCTACCTTTCGCAGCCACAGGTTTGGTTTCTTCATTACTCAAATCTTTTATGTAACTCAGGTTTATTCTAGGTGAGCTCATGTTGTACATCTAACAGAAAAGTCAGGCATACTCAATACCCTCCACTCAGTAAGATCAGTGCTTTAAAAATACATCTGTTCCATGTTAACACTGAGAACAGCCTGTAAAGTCTTTCTGGAGGGTGAAAATGCAGATGTGGACAAACCTACTGGCATCACCACTGGGAAATATTACATGACTGCAGGAGATTCACAACCCCTAGCATTCAGATCAGACCTAGATCTGTCTCTGCATTAGGGAATCTAGTTTGGGGACCCTGTAAAGTACAAGCTTGAGCTATTTCAAACTCAATCACACCTTAAGATCATCACACTCCATATCTTCTCTGGGCTTACTCCACTGTTTCAGGTATTCCACATATTTCCTTTTTTCTTCACGCAGCTTCTCTCTTTCCTGAAAGAGAGTTACAATTATACATAAAATATGGTCAGATTGCCCTATTATAGTTTCCAGAACTGCAGCACTTACTATTTCAATCACATTGCAAAATACAACATATTTAATTATAATTAAATAATTAATAATTTTTTATTTTGTATAAGAAGACATTGGCAAAAATGTTTAGAAGTAAACTGTGGTGATGCTTTGTTGCATGAGACAAGGGGTTTTGCTGGTTTTATTTGTTTGTTTTTTTTAAATGGATGTGGCTGAGGAAAAAAATGTCTAAAAACAAGAGTATTTATGAAAGTTGCCACAAAAAAAGACCATCAAACTAGATAGTGGATGTAGCTGTGGTAAAATATAGTAAAATAAATAATTTCTTCATATTCAAAGTGACAAAATGTTATTTGGCAATTTCCATGCAAAGAGAAACCACAAGGAAACCCAGAGCCATTTAATATGTTGTAAATCTGATGCAGTACAGCGTCTACTTAAGTAGAAGACAACCAGTAAACCAAATACTGTCATGCATTACTGGGGAAGGGGGGGATGGGAACAAACAAAAAACCAACAACCAAACAAAACCCACCACATTACTTCAGAAATAAGTTCAAAGTGAACTTTTTGTGACCTACAATTACAATAGAGGACGTTATCCAAAAATACAAATCCATAATCATATCTTATAACTGCTTATTCTTCTAAAGTGCATCCCTATGAACTGAAAATAGTTAATGGAAAATAACTTGAAGCAGGTTGCAACTAAGAAACAAATCAACTAGAAAGCCATTATACTGTTCCTATATGAAATACATATACTGCAAATGCATTACCTTTTCCTTTTCTATTTTGAGTCTTTCTTTCTCTTCTTTCTTCTTCATCCTTTCTTCTTCCACAATCTTCTTTAATTCTTCTCTCTTTTTTTCCTTATCTTCTTTCTCTTTTTTCTTAGCTTCTATAGCATTTGCCTTCTCTCGTTTTAATTTAGCTTTTTCAAAAGCTATAAAGGAAAAAACCAAACAAACCAAAGTTATATTTTCTTTTACAAAATGTTAATTTTATTTAACTGTGCTAAATAGGCTGATCTTTTTATCATTACCATATGAAAAAGATATTGTTATGAAGACTGAATTGTTTCTATGCCAACCACAAACTCAATCACTTCAAAGTTCCTTAAAGAATCAGAATTTTAAGCCTAAGTATTATATGTGTTTTACAAGCTTGTCATCACTGCAATAAAGTACATTTTCTCTGTTTTTATGAGTATACAGAAGTTTATTACTTGTTTATTGGTTTCTATCAAGTGGCATAAAGATGAGAACCGATTCCAACTGCATATTACTACAGCAACATAATTAGAAATGACTGCTTAATAAAAGTATGTCACAACTAGGTGTGGCATATAACCATGAAATATTTGTGATAGTAAAAACCTTTAAATAAGTGATCTTTAAGTGTTTAATAATTACTGAATTACTGAAATGACAATACATTTGAAACCTACTTAGTATTTCAGTGGGTTTTGTGCAAGTTTTACTTCTGTTATACAGTTTAAACTGAACTTTAATTGGTAATAAATGTTACTGCCTGAGGAGATCCAGATTTCTTTGTAGTTAGCTGCAGAAGAACAGCAGGATACAAATTTCCACTTTCTGTGGACAGACAATGTCAACCCACACACAGGCTAAGAAATAAAAGAGGGTCACAGGGGGCTTACCATTTTAATTGAACATACAAGAAAGCTAGAATCACAAGTGAAGAAAATGAAAAAAGATCCTTAATTCTATTACAGCAAGTAGATAGCACTCAAATTATTACATTTTCCTATAAAATTCTGAAAATGGGATAGATTGCTTTTACAGATATCTGCTACACATACCAGCAATGGCTCTCACCCAGCAAACAAAAGCAGTGAAGCTGATCTACATACTGAAGAGGCTGATTTTTCAAGGTACTTGCTATTTTGCTACCTTTCCACATCATTAGTAAAGAACTATAGCAGCACTTTGTAAGAGGCCTTATGAATGTTAGTAATTGCCATTTCAATTACAAGTTATTTACGGCTAAAATGTTTAGATTAATATTCAATTACATTCAGACAGTATATTTGAAAGTGTACTTTTAAGCTTATTGTATGGATGGGATCATACTTTTCAGACAACCATTATAACAGGTTGCCAGTTTCAAATTATAAAACTGCATCTTAAAAAAAAAAAAAGTCTTTAATTTTGGGCCAAAAATGAAAACACAGAACAAGGGTGACATGACAGTATTTTTTTAAATTATTATTATTATTATTACTTATTTGGTGCATTTATCATCATTTTGTGTCCTCGACAAAGAAAAGAAAGCATTTACAAAGTCTGAATATCAACATGCTGTGATAGCTCTCTAGTGAGGTGGCAGAAAATACAAAGAACACATTTGGATCTCCATGTTGTATACAACTTATTTCAAGGCTGTTTGCTCTTTCATTGTTTGAAACTATATGTTTCAAGGGCATTGGGTTTTGGGATGCAGTAGGATAAGATAGATAAAATTAAGCCATAATGTGTCTTAAATAGCCTTCTAGAAGCTGCATTGAACATCACACAAGGAAGGAAGCAGCTTTGATGTTCATCAGCTACAACCTTGTTCTGTGCTGTCATTTCCAGCACATAAACAAATAGATGCTAATTGGGGGGGGGGGGGGGGGGGGGGAACACAAAATTGTAGTTGGGGGGGGGAAGTGGACACACAAGTTTAGTGAGGCCAATTAAACCCTAGTGTCCCCACCTCCTATGAAAAAAAAGGCCCTGAGCAGCCTCAGACAACTTTGCACTTTTTTCAGCAGATGTCAGACTAGATAATTTCCAGGCGTCCCTGCCATCCTAAAACATTCTATCATAATGGAAAGAAGAGGCAGAAACCAGAAGTTCCCTGAAATATTTCCACAGATGAAAGCCTTTCCTTAGGAAGGACATCAGTGCTTACAACCCAGAACATCTCTGAGCTTTGTTTCCTCAAGAAGACACACCAGTTTATCCAGTTAAACCCTTACAAAAAGGTACGCGGGTCCCTTTACTTCATTTGAAACTAAGTTTAAATGGGTCAGAAATAGGCAAAAACTAAGCCAAAATAATTCAGTCAGTCCAAAATAAAAATCTTTTAAGTGATTCATACTCTTTTAATTAGAAAAAATGGTAAACTTTCTGTAAGTAAACTTGCAGAACATTTAGACATACCTTAAATATCTACACACAGACACTGTCAGAAAAACTCAATATTTCCTTAAGGATTATTGAGGTTTAGAAAGCATTGCAGTTCTTTTAAATTTTGAGGTAGTTTTTCCATTTACAGATTTTCCTCATACAATAGACTGATTTGTGTTAAATGTTTATGTTTTGATATACCTTCAGCTGGTAAATTTTATACATGACTTCTGCTGCAAAAATTTATTTTGCTCTTTATATATGAGATAGAAATCAACACAGCTGGACCACAAGCTTCCTGCATTTCCCCAGTTTAGTAAAATAAAAATAAAAAAATAAATAATTCGGGAAACAACCATTCTAACCACTGAAAGGGGCACTCTGCAGTAGTGCTGTGGCAGTGCACTCTTCCTACATTTTCCCTTTGAAATGTACACCCCAAAAAATACTCTAATTATGGCCTGCTCTCAGACCTGCAAAAACTGGTTCTACTAGTCATAGGACTAAACCTCAACTTACCCATGGCCTGCATATCTTCCTTTTGCTTCTGGAACCTTGTCTTTTCCTTTGCTATTTTACTTTTGCTTCCTTGGGTATTTTGTTTAGCAGGAATTTCGTCCTCCTGATAAATAATTCAGAGGGGGAGTGGAAAAAAAGAACATAATATCTACAGTGAAATGACCAGCAACAGATATTCCCAGTTTTTCAACAGATCTCTAAAACAAGAATAAAAATAGGCTGTAAGAGTTTCCCATAGTAAGTACTCAGAAAACCTGCCTAGTAGTTGGTGGGGGTGGGGAGAGAGGGAAAACAAACTTTCTTCGAGCTTTCTTTTTGAGTAATTTAAATACAGGCAAGTGACATTGCTGTATCTGAGGGTAATTAAAGTTTTTTAGCAAATTATTTATTAAACACTGGACAAGTACTCTATGCGCCTTCACAACAAAATTAAAACCTAGTTTCTTGGTGTGATCACCGAAATAATAAAAATAAGAAGATAACATACCAAGTATGGTCCCTTTTACCAGCTTAACTATAAAGTAATCTACTTGAATAGCAATTATGTAATATATCCTAACTCATCCTCAAAGCAAAAGGCACGACATCAACCTTGCATTCCAACTTAAAGTTCAGAGAAAATGGAAGAACTTAAAAAGACCACGCTGATGTGTTTTCATGTGGAATGAAAAATGCTATTACTTACAAGACTAGGAGATGGCCTCTTTGGAGGTCTTCCTCGCCGTCTGCTTGCAGGACTGAAGATAAACGTGGGTGGTTCATCAGGAAAGAAGTAGGAGAAATTTTGTTCTGCTAGATTATATTTTGCAATTGATGTTGCCTTAGTAAGAAAGACGAAAACACACATTCATTGTGAAATTCTTACCTTTTCATAAATATAAGATAATTAATAAATTATTAATTTGCAAAAAAAGACAATAAAAATAACTAGATTCACAATTGGTTAGCTTAGGATAAGAAATAAAGCTCTCAAATACTACAACTGTAAAGTTGATTAAGTGGATAATAATAATGTAAGCAGCACATATTTGAAAACAGAATTTTGCCTCATTTGGTAAGATTTTATTTCTTTAGATGCCTTTTAGCAAACAGCTGGGCATGGTCTTTCTAGCAAGTTACTGAAATCTTTTAAGAATTACTGTTGACAGAGAAAGATGGGAAATTAATTTACTGAAGAATCACATAAATTCTGTATCATACTTAAAGATTTCTGGAGGAGGAGAAAATGTATGACTTCTCTCATTCTAAACTGTCAAAGTTTATTTTCAAGTCTGCTTTCTCAACCTGGGGACTTCAGGAGGTCTACCCTTATCAGGTGATATGGATGAGGATACAAAGGGGAACACTCCAAATAGGACATGTTCACAAAACTGCTGAAATGCAAGGCAATCAGCAAGGGAACAAGGAGACACTCCACAAAAAGCCCAAACAAAGAGAAGATGACAAATGCACACATATACAGAATATAATAATTTTCCAGAGGCACCAGAAAGCATCAGTAATAGATCATTAGACCCAGCACACTGTATCACATCAAGGATAACACGATCATTAGCAAGCCGAAGGAAGGGAATGGTTTATCCCTTTCGGCTCTATTTTCTCTATTTCCATTTCTTTAAAAGAAACAGACTTTAAAGTTACAAAGTTATTTAGAAATTAGTTGCCTTTGTTACTTCCCACAACTTAAAGAGGCAAGACTCTCAGTGATGTTCTCTTGTCTTGGATCTTTCCTGTGCAAAATGAGCAATTACGCAACTGTGTGAGGATTCTTCTTAAAAACATACAGAAAATACAACACCTAACAAACAAACATGTTACTTTCTAAAAACAAGATCAAGATAAGAAGGATTTCAGGGTCAAGGATGCAATCCACAGTACAGGATTATGGCACAGCAAGCAAGGCAACGGAAGGGAAATTGCTGCCTACTTGGTACATGTGGGAAAAGCTGCTCAGCTCCTTGAGCACAAGGAAGCAGAAATTCTCAGTCGTCCCGTGCAGACTAAGATGTGAACCTGTACTAAGTATCACCGTATATCTCCACATATGACAAAAACATGCGTCTTAACATCTTCAACAACTAAGGCCTCATCAAAAGCCCATTCCAGTCACCTGAACTCTTTGGTACTTCTGTCTCACTGAAGAACTGGAGACTGAATTCAATCTACAATAAAATATTTTCCAGCTAAAAGCATGACAACGGAATTATATTAGCTTATTGTACCAAAACAGGACTAGTTAGTTTTTATTTGACTTTGAAATATCAGCTGCATACCTTGAAGAATGAAAACAAATAATGTGTTAGACTAAGCAAAAATATACTATGTTTTAATAAATAACATTTTTCTAGGTAAGAGCTCCCATTTTTATTTTGGGGATTTTTCTAAACTGGTAGCTAAACAAGAAATTAGAGAATTAAATTCTGCTTCATGAACAGAAAAACTACTATCTTGTTTACAATCAAAAGTTAACAAAAACCTGTTTTTACAGAAAAAGTTGCAGAATTCATCCTTTTATTTTGGAAAAGTCAAATACTAAATATATTATACCTACAAAAAGCTAAATGATGTAGTTTAAAAAAGAAGCTCCGAGGAGCTAGCAGAGAAGAGAAAAAAAAAAAACAAACCCAAGTAGGGTCAATATTCTATCCCACAAATTATTCCTTCTTATTTACCTTAGTTTTAATGACTCCATCATGTGGTTCACAGTGTTGTTTCAGAAAAAGTTTAAGTCTATCACGAGAAAAGAGATGTTTCCTCCGGCTGGGTTAGGAAAGAAAGGCAGCATTATCAACTAACATATTTAATTATTGTTTAGGTACAGCTGACAATATGTGCAAGAACACGTGTAACAGATCACATGATTAACATTTTTCTCATTTTCTTAATTATAAATTGCACCCTTACTATTGTAACTAACAGCCATTCTTTGCAACCCCCCATTCAATTAAAAATTTCCTTCTGAACAAAAAAAAAAAAAAAAAAAAAGAAACAAAAAACAAGTAATACTTCAACAGCTGACTTATGCATCTGTGGTTTTTGTTTTGAAGATCCTGGTATGTCCTTTTTTATACACACATACAGACAAACTTCACAGCCAATTCATCCCTGCTAGATCCTTCAAACATTCCTTTCTATCACAGCAGCTTTTAAAATCCCCAAACTAAAACTAAAGTCCAATTGTTTCAGAAAAGTGTGAAAACAAGCAAGCAAACAAGGACTGCAGAAAGCAGCATTCACATCTCTCAAATGGGGAGGTAAAGCACAGAAGTCTCGAGCCAACAAGTGAGAGGGGTGAATTCACACACTGCTTGGTCAGGCTGTGGCACTCCTCACTACAGCACAGCGTGTGCTCTAAATGCTTCCTGGCATCCCAGGGAACCTGCACTACTTCATGGGAAGGAAAAAAACAACTAGTTTTTGGAGCAGTTAATGAAAAAAATAATCTCAGTTTATTCTAGAACTAAATTACTTGAAATCAGTGAAGTGTTGGTTTGGGGGTTTTTTTGTTGCTTTTGTTTGGTTGTTTTTTTACAAAGGATCCAGTTTATAAAGCTCTGATGCATAATCTACTCTAAAAAAAAAATCATGACAAAATTATGTTATTTAAGAAGCCAAAGCTTTTTGCAGCTTTCTATTTTAAAACAGTTTGATTGCCAGTGTCTGCTCCAACATTTCAAACCAGTAATGCTACCACAGAGAAAGAGCTCACAATGCCAATAGTTCATCAGTATTACTGAACAGGGTTCTCAAACTTTTTTCACCTATTCCATCAGTCACAGCAGTAGGCACAGGTATCAGAAGCAACAGCAGGTCTCATCTGCGTGCCAACAGAAGCAGAGACTTGTAAGGAGTTGGTATGGGCGTTAATACCAGTAAAGCTTGGAACCCTTGCTACGGAAAGCCTGTGAAACACAGGCTTTTGTTACAGTGCCTCCCATTTAGAGTTCTAACAGACTATCTTAAAATGCCATTTTGTATCAAAAACATCTTACAGCAACTTACACAACTCACACGGTTATAAAGTACAATTTTAACTTTCATATATTGATTTTTACCTTAGTTGAGATGCTTTAACAATAACAGTTTCATATAGATCTTTTTTAATAGGTTGGACTTTGTATTTGAACAAAGAAGGATCAATTATGGCTTTCTTCTCCCTAAAAAAAATTTTAAAAATTAAAAAGTTAATTGCAATCACAAAACATCAATCTTACATTGTACACTATATATATATAGGCATACATAATGGACCTCTTGAAAACACCCAGTCATATTTAATATAGGCTGTAACTTCTACTCGTACCAAAGAGGACCTATTCACTTCTGTCAACTTTTCTACCACTAGATTTAGATCTGCATCAAAGCCAGTAAAACTCCAAGGAACAGGAAAAGGGATCGTGGATGTTGGGTTTTCTTAGTGGAGAGATGGGACACAAGAACAAAGAAAGAAAGAAGTAATAATACATCCCTGTCCCTCAGGAAATCATCCCCTTAATACCCTCAGTACTTGTGATGGCAACAGGAAGGCAGGAAAGAGAAAAAACATGAGGAGGAAGGAGTCCAAAAGACAGCATTAAATAAAATTAAATTAATAAAAATAGTAACCCTATAGCTACAGATCACATCTCAAAATGAATTTAAAAAAAAAAAAAAAACCCAAACCAAAAAAATCCCAGGTAGAATATTTTTCTGAAATATCAATTTAGAAAAAACACTCTCACCAACAGCATTCCGAAAATAACAGGAATCATAAGGCAATACATCTACACTTTAAAATAAATGCTTTTCAAGTTCCAGTTTTTCCCCTGGAAAATACTTCCTCAGTTTGAACATAACAGGAACCGTTTTCTTACACCTTTTCATAGGAGAAAAACCACCCAGGTCCGGTGTGCTACTGAAACAAAATTCACTCTTAAAAAACAGAGAGAGGGTTTTTGCCATTGATGTGGTTTAACCAGGAAGGGTCTCTGACCACCCCATCCCCACCCTCTGGTGGTACGTGGAGGAGAAAATATAAACAAACAGGGCCCAGGGGTTGAGACACAGCAGTTTACTGGGACAGTAAGGGAGAAACAACACCAAACAACAACAACAACAACAGCAGCAGTGCTAATGAAAGAGTAACGAAACTAAACTAAACTAAATGAAGTTCAACAAGGCCAAATGCAAGGTC